GTCCTTGCCCCAGGGACAGAGCTGACTTCCGGATTCCAGCGGAAGCCAGCGTGGGAAACAAGTATTGGGTGAGAAAATGAAGCTGGGCATCAGTCTCACACTTCTCACCCTCATGTTCCGGTGGGGCTTGCACGGCCCAAGTCTGATACCAGGGACAAGGACGAAAGAATGGCAAGCCCCTGGATTCCTTTAACGGAATTCCCATTTCCGCACCACCATTGGAGGGGTAGGCACTTACCCCTCCACCAACCAAATTTAACCAATGCCTAACCGCCAACCTTACAAGTTGTGACGATTTGCTACGCAGTAGGCAAAAACCAAATGGCACCAGCCAATCAGCCAATTGGCAAAATTCCTACCAGGCCCCCGCACCAAGGCGGACGACCCCATGACAGGCATAGCAAGGTCAAGATCCCAAAAAACCCCCCCTTTTAAAGGGAGGGTGGGCGGGTGAATCAGTGCAAAAAGGCCAAGAGGACGCCCAACGTTGGACGTCCTGTATTTAAAGGCTCTGACCCCACCTCCAAATTGGCAACATTCAAAACTCCCCAGTAACCCAAATTAACCACTTAAAGGCTTGGGTTCCTCACCAAAATCTGCCCAGTAACAACAGGGTGGCTTGTTCCCCCAACCGCAACACGTGCTCTCTTTTATGGAGAACACGCTTTGCGTGTTGAGTCCCACAATGCCACCCCCCAAAAATTCACACTTCACACATCAATTTTTGTTTAAGGTTTTTGGCATAATTTTGGCCACAACTTTATTCAAAGTACAAAAATGTGAGTGGTTGCTTAGGCATTGGTTATGACTATCTGTCCTTGCCCCAGGGACAGAGCTGACTTCCGGATTCCAGCGGAAGCCAGCGTGGGAAACAAGTATTGGGTGAGAAAATGAAGCTGGGCATCAGTCTCACACTTCTCACCCTCATGTTCCGGTGGGGCTTGCACGGCCCAAGTCCGATACCAGGGACAAGGACGAAAGAATGGCAAGCCCCTGGATTCCTTTAACGGAATTCACATTTCCGGACCACCATTGGAGGGGTAGGCACTTACCCCTCCACCAACCAAATTTAACCAATGCCTAACCGCCATGGAGCCCTTAGCTCACCGCCAAACCACTCACAGGCCCAGCCAAGCCCTTAGCTTAGCCACCACCGCACCTAGCCAAGCCTCGTTCCCTAAGGCCGAAAGGTGCACGCCATCATCTCTGAAAAAGGATTCATTCTGAGCGATAATCTCGGGATGTGAGATTACATCGCCACCCAACTCGAAAACCTTTTTTGACACCGCAGAATTGATACGCTTCTGGCCCGTTCGATGGCAGCTGGGCAACGACTCCCTCTCCAAGCGCGTCGTTGCAAAAACTTTGACCAAAACAACTTTGCAGTCGGCAACATAGCCCGCAGCACGTCGAGGTCGCCCAAAATTGCTGCACGTAACGAAAAACAGTCCATGGAAACCAGGTCGTTCTCACCCAGCTGTACCACAACAGCTGCAGGAGGCCCCTCCAACAACATCTGCCTCCGAATCAGCGGCAGGAACTCTGGCCAGCGCATTCCCCGTCTGGACAGCCAAGCCAAGTGGACATGTGGAGGAAGGCCGAGGCCTGGTCCCAATCCGGATTGCCGGGCTCCGATGCCAGCCCAATGCACGATACTGTGCCCCACCAACCAGATGCGGACAGTCGCTAAACCTGAGGTAAACAAGCAAAACAGAACAACAAACCAGATGTAAGCATATCACATTGTCAACGGACATAACCTCTGAACGCATTTGACTTCCACCGACCCAATTCCTTTATTCTGTCAGCCGACAGGCCCCAATGCGCTGCAGTTGTAGCCGCCCCGATCCTGAAGGAATGGGGGGCAAAACCATAAGCCGAATCGCCACAAGCGATGATCGCCTTCCGCATCACCATTGCGAACTGGTGTCTTGTCAGGGGTGGCCCATCTTCATGCCTCAGCATCGGACCATCCCCTGGGGGGCGAACAGCCAGGTACCTTCTAACATCTTTAACGGGGCAGGGGCCAGCTTCCCCCGTGGCAGGGAGACGAATAAGGGCTCCCCTACCCCTCTGATCTGTTTTTGAATTCCTAATCGTGAGTCTCAGCTCCGCCGTGGATAACTGTACATCCTGGAGCAATAGGCCCCTAGAACGGCCGTCCCTGTGAACTTCCAGCACCAGCTCGCCCACCCGTAAGGCTCCAAAGAAGGCAATGGAAAAGGCTGCCGAGAAAAGGCGAGCCTCATACACGGACCAGCAGACACTCCGCAATTTCTTGCGCATCCTGCCAAGCAAGTCAAATGAGATCGGGCGCCGGGATGCGGGTCGGGAAGGACAAAGCCTACTCCAACCTTCAAGGGCCCTACGCACTACAAACTTTGCGCAAGGATCTTTGTCAAAATATGACTTAGAGAAAAACGCTATTGCAGCTGCCTGAATCCTAAGTGTCTTGGCTGCACGCCCCAACTGGAAAGGTGGGCCAAATATCTCAGCCCCTGAGAAGTGGAGGGTGGAGCCCTCCCTACCACACTGGCTGACTGATGGGTAAATGCCAAAAAGTCAGTCCATGCTTTAGTGTAAGACCGGAGGGTAGAAGGGGAAATAGATGCAGCTACTCCCTGGAAAACTAATTGCTGCCAAGGTTCCAGAGATGATCCGGGAAATATTCCGGACGTTCCCGAGCCTCTGGAACCAGAAGTCTGAACCGCTCCATCTGAAAACGGGACAGAGCATCAGCAATTTCGTTAGACACCCCCGGAATGAAACGTGCAGAAAACACTATATTATAACGTAAACAATGTAGAACAAAGGCCCGCAAAAGGGCTGACACCCTGGGGGAGCGTGAAGACAGCTTGGCCAGCACGTTCACCACCGCCTGGTTATCGGTCCAGAAGCAAACACGACGGTCCCTGAACTCATCGAGCCACAAGTGCACTGCCACTGCAATGGGAAAAAACTCAAGAAAAGTTAGGTCCCGCGTAATGGCTTCCCCTTGCCAGGCGGGTGGCCAACGCATGGCGCACCATCTGCCTTTCCAATACAGACCAAAGCCCAGGGAACCTGCAGCATCTGGATTGCACTTGAAAATCATTATGTAAGTTCAACGTGTCTTGCCACAGGGATACCCCATTGAATTCCTCCAAGAATTCAAGCCAAATGCAGAGATCCGCCTTCACCTCACTAGAGAGGCGAACCCGATGATGCGGGGCCTTCAACCCCACCGTAAGTCGAGCCAGGCGTGAACAAAAGGGGCGCCCAGGCGCCACTACCCTGCAGGCAAAATTCAGGTGCCCTAATAGCGATTGGAGTTGCCTTAGGGACACCTTCTTCAAAGGGAGCAATTCCTCTATAACTTTCTTCAAAACAACCAGCTTATCCCTTGGCAAGCTGGAGGTTTGAGAAACCGTATCTAAGAGGATACCCAAATAAGTAAGCTGGGTCGAAGGACCCTCCGTCTTTTCCGCTGCAAGCGGAACGCCCAATTCTTGCGTAAGGTCTGCGAAGGCGTGCAGCAGCACCGCGCAATTGCCGGTATCATGAGCCGAGGCCAATAAAAAAATCATCCAAATAATGGGTGACTCCGCCCAATCCAGTTTTTTGTTTGAGGGCCCACTCCAAAAATGTGCTAAAAGATTCAAAAGCGGCACACGCTATTGAACAGCCCATAGGCATGGCTTTGTCAAAGTAATACTTGCCCTCAAACTGGAAACCTAGTAGCCAAAAATCCTCGGGATGAATAGGCAATAAACGAAATGCCGATTCAATATCGCATTTCGCCAATAAGGCGGCAGGGCCGAACTTCCGAATCATCTTGATCGCATGATCAAGAGAGGCGTACTTCACAGAGCAAAGCTCTGGAGGAATCACATCATTGACTGAGGTGCCCCTAGGGTGTGATAAATTATGAATCAAGCGAAACTCGCCTGGGGCTTTCTTTGGCACGATACCCAATGGGGATACATGCAACTTACGAAATGGGGGAGCACTGAAAGGACCAGCCATACGATGCATAGCCACCTCCTTTGCAATCTTTTTTCGAGCGATTTCGGGCAGCTCGCAAACTGATTTTTGATTAGAAGGATTCCGTGCCACGGGAGGCATGGCTACCGGAATCCGAAAACCAGCGGAAAAACCATCAACCAGATAACGTGCAGCAACCCTATTGGGGTAAGACTGCAACCAAACTCGGAGGGTCGACAAGCGAACAGGGGTATGAGCCAAGGAAGACAATACACTATTTTCCTGTTCCTGAGGTGGAAGGAAGGGGGGCTGACTTGGGGGGTTGCTGAGAACCCCCTCTTCCCCCCCGAAAGGGCCGCCTACCGCCAAAACAAGAGGAGGCAGGATGCGATCCATTGCATTTCTCACACGAGTGAGCGAATCTGCACGCTGGACGCTGGCAGGAGCCCTTATTGAAATCCCAGCATAGCAGACGGCGGCCCGGCCTAAAAACGGAAATCCTCGACTTCTGCTGCTCCGGCACCTTTTTATCAATAAGTGGGGCTACATAGGTGGTCCATACATCGAGATCCTTGCGATCCCAGCGGGCCGAAGGAATCCTGGCAGCGCGGCGCCTGAAATTCTCATCATATTTGATCGCAGCTTTTTCACCAGCTTTGGTGAATGCAGATCGCACAATGGATAGATAAACTATCAAATGAAGAGATCTCCGGGGGTAAGCTGCTGTAACCACGCCAGCGAAGACCTGGAAACAATCGAGCCAATGTTCGAATGTCCTGTCCGCAGCAGAGGCCCCAGAGCGTTTCTTAACAGAGGAACTTCCCTTCTCCTGTTCCTCCGAAGGAGGGAGCAATTTAAACATGTCTACGTAGCGGCCATTCAAAATCCTGGACCGCAACTTTGCCGACAAATGTGAGCCTGGTATGATGTCCCTGGCAGAATTGGTTGAGACTTTAACGTCGGGAACCAACACACCATCCCTATACTCCTGGGTTGCCCCATATTTTGCCCGATGTGTGTTGGCCCTTCGCTCCCACGCCCACCGTGGAAGCCCCGAAACCGACTCGCCGAAACCCCAGTAAAGCTCCATGGAGTTACCCTCATCATCGGAACTAGAAGATGATGTACCTGAATAAGAGGAAGAAGTGTCGTCCTTCCTCCGTTTGGCGCGCTTCCGGGACGCTCTCCTGTGGCGACGCTTCCCTCCTGAGGACTTCCTAGCCGGGACAGGAAGACTGTCTTCAATAGAAGACTCGGAATCAGGATTCAGCAGTGATGGGGCTGACACAGACTGCGGAGAGACAACAAGTGAGAGGCCAGAACCAGATGCCACCTCAGCGGGAGGCTGAGCGGACGTACGCCGACGAGCAGGAGCTACGGAGGGGCCCCTTTTTCCTGAGGCCCTTCTGGTGGGACCGCCAGACCCGCGTGACCAGCCCCGGACAGCAGGTAAGTCAGGGGACTGGGCTAACTGGGGGTCCACAATCAAACCGCCTGACGATGACCCTTCTCTCCCATCTTCACTAGATGACGGTGAAACCGGAGACGACGCCGTTCCTGAGGGAGGCGGCCTCCCAGATACAGACGACTGGGTGGAGCAATGTTGAAGGAAACCATCCATTTCGGCCGCAAAACGAGATAAGGCTGCTGGGTCACCGGCCATACTTGCTACCAAGGATTGCACCCGCCCCACAGGTTGACCCACAGTGGGTGAGCGAAACGCCTGGGATGGACCCTTAATAGGCCGTTTTGAAGCGGCGGCTGGACCCGAGCGAGCGGCGACTTTCTTTGGAGCCATACCTGCTAGTCGGAAAATAAGATTATTATCAATAAACTCCACAAGCAACACGACCAATAAATATCTATCAAGCTTCAAAATGAGTGAACCACTGCTGGCCAATACACCAACAGCGCCGAAGTACCTCTGCTGCCTGTCAGCCTTTTGATTCAAAACATTAGGAGAAATTAAATTAGGATTAATTAAGATTAAAGCAAAATTAACTCAAGTTAACATAAATTAATAATTCAACCAACTTGTCTAGTCCGGATAATTAAGAGAAATAAAATGTCGCCTTAATTCAAACCAACAGTGGCATATGGAACCACGCGTCCAACTTATCTATCTATCTATCTGTCTATGTATTCTGTCTAAATTGTCTGCTTATTTAACAGAATGAGCCACAGGTAAGTGACCCTGCACTTCCCCAAGCCAGCCAGCAGAGGGCCTCTCAGTTACTAGAGGCTCAGTGGCTGGGACAGCTAAGCCGAGAAGTGGGGGGGGGAGGAGGCGCAATACAGCACCTTGCCACTGGGGGAGCTAACGTAAAATCAGGAGCAGTGCAGCCCACGGCCACCAGAGGGCCAACAAACAGCAAATGACTCAGGCAGGCACTCTCCCAACCCCCTGCGTTCAAAGAAAATTCAGAAAAAATTAGAAAAAAAAAATTAGAAAAAATGAGGCCTCGCAACTGCGCAGCCAGCCACCCCGACGGGGAAGGCACAGGCCGCGCCAGCGGACCCAGGAAGGGCCGCGCAGACCGCCACGCGCCGACCGAAGGCGCGCGGCAACCAGGCCCCCGACAATAAAAGGCTCACTAGAGCCGAACCGGAGAGGGCGCCCGACGCACCCCAGGAACCGCGGCAACGGCCGCCCGCGGCGCCGGGGCCCAACGGCCAAGCCCGCCGACCCGGGAGCCCCATGTAAGCAGCCCCGCGGCGCCCCGGACACCCGCCCGCGCGGACGACGGGCCTCGGCGGCCGGGCGCCGCCGCGCCGCGTCCCAGGACCGGCCCCTCGGCCGGGACTCCGCAGGCGGGCGGGCGCGCTGGAGCGGAGCCGCCTCGGCTCCCCGGGCGGGGAGTCTCCAAAAAGGGGGGGGGCGCGCCCGAGCAGGCTCGGCGACGCTCCGCGGCCGCGGAGCACGAAGATATAAATAACAGGGCGCTCCCGCGGCCCAGCCAGGAGGCGCCGCGAACCTCCCCCTGCCGCAGGCCACCACCGGGGCCTTGCTAGGTGGGTCCGGCCCAGAGGGGCGGCGAGGCAAAGCCTCCCGGGGCTGGGGGGGGGAATCCCCACCCACAGCCGATCTCCTGTCGCCCCCAAGGAAAACAATATAGTAAAGTAAGGTTAAGTAGGATATTCTAGAAAGCACGGGAAAATATAGGGAGGTAAGAAGAGAGAGCAGGAGGGGTAAGGATGGACAAAGAGAAGAGGGGCCTAGGGGATCAGGAAGTGGGTTCAGATTTAGCAAGGCCTAAATACAACCGTCTCCAGACGCAGACTGCTCCTGAATCAGTGCAAAAAGGCCAAGAGGACGCCCAACGTTGGACGTCCTGTATTTAAAGGCTCTGACCCCACCTCCAAATTGGCAACATTCAAAACTCCCCAGTAACCCAAATTAACCACTTAAAGGCTTGGGTTCCTCACCAAAATCTGCCCAGTAACAACAGGGTGGCTTGTTCCCCCAACCGCAACACGTGCTCTCTTTTATGGAGAACACGCTTTCTCCCACAAGAAGTAGTAATGACCACAACATAAGCTGATCACTTTAAAAGATTATCAGATAGGATAGTGACCTGTCTCAGGGCAAGAATTTCCAAGTTCAAGCACCAGAGGGCACGACCCCACTTTATCCTATTCCACCACACAGTCGTTTTATGAGGTCCTTGTACATCTTTTGTTTAAATTACCCTTATTAGAGCCATTTAAGTGCTAGTGTAATATATTTACATTTAATTAAACAATGGAGGCTGGGGAGAAGCCAAGGGCTCCGTGTCAAATTAAAGCAATCTCTTGTACAAATAGTTTCTCATAAATCAGATTCCCTTTTCACAAATAGCAATAGTCAATTAAATAATTCCTAACGTTTCATATTTTCCTGTTCCTTCTGCCCCTCTCAAAACAACGAGTAGAAAAGGGTGGATTTCAAAGCTGATTTTAATTTAGCAAAGTTTCCTATAACTAACCTGAAAGGTTTGTGTGAAAAGACATTTCTTTGCACAGATCTGCTGTACCACTTGAGTGAAGAAACAGGCTGCAGCCTGCATCATAACAGGGAGTGGGGAATAGGTAACTCAGCCCAGCCTTCTTGGCACCTTATTTCATGGATGCTTCCACTAACTGGTACTTGTTATACCAGGTAGGGTGGCAAAGCAATTAGAAAACGCTAGGTCAAAACAAATTTCACTCTTACTAAGGTTTTTTCTAATCTGGCAATCTGAACCATTTTTGTGAAGCTATTTTTTTGTAACTCCCCCCCCCCCCCCATTATTATTTTTTAATAAAACACTTTGAACAATGAACTAGTATGATTCTCCCCCCAATTTTTTAAAAATAAATGATACATTTAATCTTACAGTAGAAATGCAAGGTTACACTTGACAAGAAAGCAAGCATGCCATATTGTCTTCAATATTTGCTACTCAATCATTTCTGTTTGCTTTGTTCATTTTGGAAATTTTATCTCTTGTACCCAGAAGCAACAGAACTGTCTGGGGCCTTTTGGCTGTTTTAATATTCAAAGTTTTGATGTTTAATCTTGTTTCTGAGGGCCAGGACACAGTAGCTGCTTCCAGATGGGAGCCTTGGAACTGGTGCCAGTCAGTATTTTCATGAAGTCGGAATAGCAAATGAGTCTCTGACCTGCTGAAGGTCTCTTGGTCCTTTTCAGATTTGATTTATCCTTATATTACACAACTTTCCCTCAACAGGGAGGAAACGGAGTGTGGAAGCACCCTTTTTCTCACATACAGTGGTACCTGTCACGGCTAAAATGGCCGCTGTTTCTCAGCGGCTTGCAGCAAGTTGTATATATAAGTGAGAAATGTTAGTTTGTTGCTGAGGCTGGTGTTTGGGTTGGTTGGTTGGTTAGTGTTGTTGTGTGTCAGTCGCTTTTGCACAAAGACTTTTAAGAATAAAACTCTGCAAGGATATTCTCGTGGACTCTTTTGTGCCGACAAGGGTCCGAGGACCAGGCTGAGGAGACAAAGGGAGGTCAGAACCCTTTCCTTCTTTTTTTTGCTTTTTACAAACACTGACAGTACCTCGGGTTACATACGCTTCAGGTTACATACGCTTCAGGTTACAGACTCCGCTAACCCAGAAATAGTGCTTCAGGTCAAGAACTTTGCTTCAGGATGAGAACAGAAATTGTGCTCTGGTGGCACAGCAGCAGCAGGAGGCCCCATTAGCTAAAGTGGTGCTTCAGGTTAAGAACAGTTTCAGGTTAAGTACAGACCTCCGGAACAAATTAAGCACTTAACCTGAGGTACCACTGTAGCGGATTTTGAGTTGTGAAGGATAAACTGTTTCAAAGTGATCTAACCAGGGGGAGCGATGAGAAAACCCTGATATAACTGCAAATGCATGACAATGTCATCCAGATGCTCTGGAAAATTTTAGTGAACAAGACAGGGAGATTGCACAGCAAAGAGGCAGCGCTGGAAGCGCCCAGTGACATGATACTTCATATGAAACAACTTCAGCGTGTGAATGCCTTAGCTTGGAGCAACAGGTTGGAACAGGACAGTGGGTCTACCATCATATCCAAAGACATGTTGCTCACCCTGGCCAGGGTGGAAAGTGGGAGTGCTTTGTTTATTTGTTTGTTTTACTTTTTGCTGTGCCAGTTCCGAGCTGGTGCAGCAGAGGGACTCAGGTCAGCCTTCTCTCTTTGAAATGGGCCAACATTGGACCCAACAGAGCCATTGACAGATGCACTCTGCAGAGGCAGATTTAGAGGAGTGCGACCGGTTCAACACAGAACTGCAGGGGTACCACGGGGTTGGGTGTACAACTATGACGTAGAATGGAAGGTGAGAGGTGGGGCAGGACTGAATTAGGCATCACACAGGGCACCAATGAAATTTCAGACCTCAAGGTCTGCCACTGCATCCTGCCCTGCCCTCATAACGTTCCATTTCAGGGTTTTATTATGGCTACTGCCAGCTGCTGCCCCACTATGGTAATATCCACTCTTTCATGATTATAACAATTATACTGCTTTATGCCAAAATAGGCTTCTAAGTATAAGAATAAGTATAAGTATAAGTATACAGTCATTAAAATTTTAAAAATCCACAATCAAAATGCATAATAAAGCAATCACATCAAAAGAAGATTAGCAGTCGAAACAGGAGACTCAGGTTGAGAGAGCAAGAGAATACCTGTGTAGACAGGTGCATCTTCCAGAGCCCGTGGAATGCCAATGTAGATGGGACCTCTTGAATAGATGGGGCAGGGGGTATGTTCCATAACGCCATTGTCACCAGTGAAAAAGCCTCCCTCCACATC